GTGTGTATGCAAGTATATGTGTATGCATATGTATTTGTATGTGTGTATGTATATGCAATAGCTTCACAATAAGGCATTGTTGGAAGACAGAAGCAGTATGTATGTATGTATGTATGTATGTATGTATGTATGTAAATTTATTAAAGAATTTATTATCTGTGGCTTCTGTGCGGTATAAATCAATTTTACCCATTTAATAAAATTCCTGCCAAAGTCTATATCTTCCAAAATTTTAAGCAAAAAAGTCCAGTTCAAATTGGAGGACAGAAGCATTAATACAGTAGCTGTAGCAGCTAGAGTTGTACCAGTTCTCTGATAAGAAGGGGCATTTAACACTGCTAAAAGTAGAAGCATGATCTAATAAAGCTCAGGGGCTTTTTCATATCTTACAGTCTGGCTCATGTGTTCAATGACTAACAGATCAGGTCAAACCTATACAAATAGCCCAGATTTCCTGACCCCCCACCTCACCCCACTTTTCAGGCTCTGCCATGCTCCCATTGTACACTTCGTCTTCAAAATCAGCATTTACAAAAGTACGGTCCATGGCCTGAACACCAGTCATTGTTTAAAAAACAAAACAAAAAATAATTGTCTATAGCAAATATGCAAAAAAATCACTCTCTTTCCTCTCCATCCTGAGCATTACGGCCATGAGTCCACCAGTATTCTGGTCAGAGGGAGAAGAAGAACCAGGAGAGTTTTCCTCGGAAGCTTCCAACCAGAATGCTGGTGATCAGTTGACCTATGACTTAAAACCTTACTTTACAAAAAACCTGTCCACCAGTTTCCATATGTGTAAAGTAACAACAACAAAAGACCACAATAAAAGCTATATAAAGTTTGGGAAATGCTGTTCAACACTTCTATGGAGTAGGTAGGTCAAAAGAATGTGACTGCCTCTAGGTCATGGCTGAGTGGAGATTTGAACTGAGGTCTTTGTAATCCTGTCTGCCACACTGGCTTGAAGTGCATTTCAGATTCACGGCTCCAGTCATATATACTCTTCAACAGGACCTATATCTTGATATTGAGCAATAACATAGCAACAGCAAGAATAACAATAAATCAAGGAGAAGCCAAAGGATATTTTTTTTAAACGTACTTTATCTAGGATTATTCCTAGATAAAATCCTAGCAAGCCTTTTAATTTTGCTGTGAATCTTGCCATTTTAAACCAAAGTAAACTGTACATACCGTACATTAATTTTATGCAATACTTCCTTTCCGTTAGAACTGTAAGAATAACCTAAAGTCCCACCCATTATACAGAGTATTTCTCTGCCATCATAACAGAACCATGGTTTAGTTTTTCAAAGTTCATTGAATGAACCAACCTACTTCTAAGTTGTTTAGGTTTTGTTTCTGTTTTGCTTGCAGTGGCCACCATATTCCATATTATATCTGGCATTAAGTTAGAATAGGTAAGACAAAAAGAGGAAATCTGCTGTTTGTTTGATTCTTCACCAGCAGGTAATTCAGCTTGTCCTTGCCATTTTCATAGCACCAACCACTTCAATAGAGGAATATTATTCAATTCAGTTTTAAACACACAACATAAACTAATATGAAATCAGACTTTTGATTCATCTAGCTCAGACTTCTGTAAACTGATACCCTCCCAACCAACATATAATAGTGCTAATGATTCTGAGAGTTGAAATCTACCACCAGGCTGCTAAGTTGGGAAATACTGGTCTAAGCCACGATAGTTGATAAAGAAGATATTTGCTTTCTTCAGGCTAAGGTCTACCCCAGCCCTTGAATTTTAGTTTGTTTTAGGCTGAGGTCTGAACCTTGGACATTCTAGAAGGAAAACATAGGCTTTCTGACTGAGCCATATTTTTTTCTTTGGTTTGTAATGTTTACATTGTATGCTACTGTAAATTTATCTTAATGGAGCCTTGCCAATTTCAACCTTATTATAGGAAACTGAGTTTATATAGAAGGATAGGCAACCTTTCTGGGCTTGTAGAGACTTGGAATTCTGAAACATGTCATGAAAAAATTATCTTATTTTGATAGAAAGAAATTGCATGAGAAATCACTTTCTTGTTACTTGGGGCTTTGCTGACAAGTTTCAGTGGCGCATTCTCAGAGCATTAAGGCAGGGATGGGCATTTGAGTCCCTTTTTTTGGACCCTCAGAATCTACTTTGATCATGATTGATGAATACTGATGGCAGTTTCTTGCCGTTTTGAAGTAGGAAATACACAAAAAACTAGTGTTAGCTCCAAAACAAGCTCAGTTAAAGCTTCCTAGTCCTACCTACATATGTGAAGTGCCTCGTCCATTTTATGGCTGTCAGCCCTCAGCCCTTGAAAATCACATTCAAATTTGTCCTGAGAATAAGGAAGAAGAAAAAAATACTCTTTCCTGAACAAGAAACTTTCAAGAAATTGGAGAACATAGTTTTAGTTGTACAATTTAATTTTATACATGGAGGAAAGTTTTGTTGTGTTCATTTGTCATTCTTTTTGAGTATCTTCATAGAAGAACGTATTCAGTGGAGTCCTTGGTGCTTTCTGAGCTTGGTTATTTGATTGCAGACGTTTCATTACCCAATTAGGTAACATCATTAGCGCTCACTGATGATCAGCACACAGTGAAAGACATGGAAGAAAGGCAGCACCAATATCTGAATAATGTGATTCTGATGCAAGTATATAAGCAGTGATGTGCTGAAGCCAGCTTGTACTGGTTCACAACAGCCAATTGTTAAATTTGCTGGAATTTTGCAAGCTGGCTTACAGCAGAGCAGAACCACAATGCCTTGTGCTAATCAGTGGTTCCATGGCTAGCAGCGCAGTGCAGCAGCAGCAATAGAGCTGGCAGAACTGGTTGTTAAATATTTACAAGCATACCACTGTATATAAGTCATAACATTTGTGTGATGGCATCATCATACATGTTTCATCATTTGCTCACCCTTGAACCTCCCTGTACAAGATGCCCATGCCAACATATGATCTCTTCTGTTTCTGCTACTTATAGATGGTATCTTAACATGAGTATACACACACACACCCACACACACACACACACACTGAGATGATGGACTAGATTGATA